ACAGACAACTTTTGCCTTGGAGGTATACTCAAATTTAACCAAACTCGAGTTAAAAATAAAAAACAAAATAAAGTGTTTTTTTTTTTTTTTTTTTTGAATATGTTCGGCCGAACACGTTCGGGTGGCGTTCAGCCGAACACCCGAACATGTTCGGACGTTTGGAAAAACTCCGAACATGTTCGGTGTGCTACACATGATTGATTTATTGATTGATTAGGGAAAAAAAAAAAACTCGCCAGTGTGTATGTGGGGGGGGGGTGCGTGCGCGAGTCTGTGTGTCAGTGTATGTGTATGTGTGTGTGCGCGTGTGTGTACGTGCACGTGTGTCTGTGTGTGTGTGTGGGCGTGCGCATGTCTGTGTGTGTGTGTTCGTGTATGCGTGTGTGTGGTTGTGTGCGAGCATTTGTGTATGTGTGTGTGTGTGTGTGTGTGTGTGTGTGTGTGTGTGTGTGTGTGTGTGCAGGGGAGGGGGGACGGATGACCCCTCCCCCACCATTCAATCAATCAATCAATCAATCAATCAATCAACCAATCAACCAATCAACCAATCACTTAATCAATCAATCAATTTTTTTTTATTTTTTTTAAAATTTTTTCACACCCCCCTCCTCCCCTCCCGAATTTTATTTTTTAAACTGTTTTTTGTTCAAGGGGTACAGTCGGGGTTAAGGAACCCCAATCCGAACCCCCCACCCCCACCCCACTCTCCCCTTGGACGTGGCATGCCGCGGCAGACCGAGGCCTTGCGACCTCGGCCGTGGTCCGCGGTTGTGCCCATGGTGACTGCGGCCTCACGACCTCAGCCGCGGTCCGTGGTTGTGCCTGTGGTGACCGCGGTCGTGGGTGTTTTGTAGCCTCCACCTCCTTCACCCATCCACCATATACGAAACACCTTCGCAACTTCTTTCACCTCCACCTCCTTCAACCATCCACCAAAGCCAAGTACCTTCACACCTTTTTCCACCTCCACCTCCTTCGCCCATCTACCATAGCCAAACACCTTCGCACCTTCGCCCACCTCCACCTTCTTCACTCATCCACCATAGCCAAGGACCTTCACACCTTCTTCCATCTCAACCTCCTTCACCTATCCACCATAGGCAAGTACCTTCACACCTTCCTCCACCTCCATCTCCACCTCCTTCACCCATCCGCCATAGCCAAGTACCTTCGCACCTTCTTCCACCTCAACCTCCTTCATCCATCCCCCATAGCCAAGCACCTTCACACCTTCTTCCACCTCCACCCCCTTCACCCCTCCACCGTAGCCAAGCACCCTCACACCTTCTTCCACCTTAGCCTCGTTCACCCATCCACCATAGCCAAGTTGCTTTACACCTTCCCCCTCCCCTCCGTCACCAAGCAATGTCGCGGCCAAGGCATATAGGGCAGCTAGTCAGTGAAGGAGTCATAGGTAGTAAGGTAGGACGAGGAAGGGGTAAGTCGGATTAGGCTGAGGGGTCTCTCTCTCTCTCTCTCTCTCTCTCTCTCTCTCTCTCTCTCTCTCTCTCTCTCTCTCTCTCTCTCTCTCTCTCTCCTTATCTCTCTCTCTCTCTCTCCTCCTCTCTCGTTCCCTTTCTTTCTCCTTATCTCTCTTTCTCACTCTCTCTTCCTCTCTCGTTCCCTCTCTCTCTGTTTTTCCTCCTCCTTAACCTTCAAAACTATCTTTTCCTTCTCTTCCAAATCCCAAGGTCAACCCTTACCCTCACTTCCTTTCCCCTTGCCATGCAACTAACCCTTCCCCCACTCACTTGTTACATTGTCATGGTATGAACGGTGAAAGAACTTTGAATCTCGCTTGGTGGAAGAAGAGGGCAAGGGGAGGGTTGTCGGCCCCATGTGCCACCAAGAAGATAAGAAAGAGGAGAGCTTGACGGGCTTGACGGTTGACAAAGTCCGAGAAGGGCTAGAAAGAGTTGTCAAGTAAACGAGAGGTCAGTTGACCCAAGGACAAAGAGAATTTTTAGGCATGTGAGAGAGATTATGTGTCGACCCCAAATGGGGATTGTATCTGCTTGCATTATGTTGGGTGTGCAGGTGAGTAGCTTTAAGATGTCTTGAGCTGGATTATGTCCGGATAGGCCGGGCGACAAAAGAGGAGATGAGACATAGTAAGCAAAGCGGGTTGTGAATGTAACCCTTGCCTATGGATGAAAACTTTTATGCATGCGGCTCGAGCCTGAATAAGAAGGGCATGGTCTACTTAGTTGAAGTCCGCAAAGGTGTTAGGCGGTCGAGAAGGTCGCCAAGTCTTATGTTTATGCGGGTGGGAACCCCGAAAAGACTAAGGGTGCGAGGGAAGCAACAGACATTATCCATAATATGTGGGGGGAAAAAATGTTAATACGCAGGCCGACTAAGAGGATGAAGAGTGTTCCCCACCTCAGCGAAGTCATAAGACCATTGCGTTAGTAAATAAATGCGTAGCCCAAGTAAGACACTTGGCCTACGCATAAGAGAAGAGAAGTGTTCCAAGGAACATCTGGACTTCCTGTGTATTAGAAGAAGCAATTGCATGGGAACACGACAAAGTATCGAGAAATGAACGCTCACGAGTGAACAACAAAATTGTCCCCACTAACGACAAAGTTGAGCTACATCCCCAATGTCAAAGCTCTCTCGCTCAATGGCCCACCCCCATCCATCTCAAAACACTAGGTGTGGGTGACCCTGTGACAAATGGCTCCGCGCCCTGAGCATGAGTGTGGGCGGAACCGAGCCAAATGGGACCCATAGGAGGGTCGACCCATGCTCGAAAGTCTAACTGGGTGAGGTTCTACACCGGCCCTTCGTGCGGCAAGCGTGGGGGAAGTGGCGGCCGTAAGTCTAGCCGGTAGGCAAAGGTGTGGCCTTGGTGTGTACTAGTAAGACCGCACGCCTCACAACACCTGCTTATACTATGGAATTGTGCAACTGCTAATATCGCCCTTGGACCTGGTACTATTGTTTACGGTGTTGAACTTCCATACAGCAGCTAGGGGGATCAAGGGCAGCAGGCGATGATGCTAGAGTGATAAAGCATCTTGAAGAAGATCGAGGGGTTGAGGGTCCGGTGGGGCTATCCCCCTTGGTTTTGCTGCCGGCCCCGGTCGCGGGCCCGATTGACAGCGCCAAGGAGGTGTTGTCGTCCTTCTCCTTCCCCTCCGATATCCCAGCCTTTTTTTTTTTTTTTTTTTTTTTTTTTTTTTTTTTTTTTTTTTTTTTTTTTTTTTTTTTTTTTTTTTTTTTTTTAATTTAGTTATTTATTAATTTAAAGGTTCGTTCTTTGGGGGGGAACCGACACTAATGTTGGTTCCAGGGCTGGTCTTAGGATCAACAGACCTAGCTCAGTTGGTACACCCCCTCAACTGTTGAAATACAGACCAGAGCTCCAACTCAAGTGAAAACAGATGGGTGAAATACTACAATTTGAAGTAAAATCAAGCTCAACAAGTTTTTTTTTCCCCCCCAATTATTCCAAGTCTGTTCCCTTGGCTCTGGTTTCGAAGGATGGTAGAGAGGGACAGTGGGAAATTCGACTCTGTGAAATAATTTGAGAGGTGTAGAATAAGTGCGAGCTTTATACCCCCTATCGGAGTACTCGTCCCCTCAATTCTTATTGATTACGTCGTCTGTCGCCGAAGCGATCATCGTCTTCATGCAGATTATCATCGTCTTGCTCGTTTATCCTCACGTTGGTCGTCATCACCCTGTTGGCGGTCCTATCTCCTCTCGTAGTTGTCTATCCTTACTGTGCCACTAGGATCATACAAACTTGGACGGGAGGTCGTCCAAGTGCATTGGGAAATGGAACGAAGATAACGAAGACGAGATGAAGCAAGTGTGTGGGGGGTGGGAGACAGACAAAAAAAAAAAAAGACATGGCTCGCGAAGCAGTAGTTATGGGATGAGCGATCTCGAAGCAGAAAATTATGGGATGAGCGATCCCGAAACAGTAGTTAGATTGGTGAGAGGTTAGTAAGAAGAGAAGGTGAGGAGAAAAGATGATCGCGGTGTCGAACGCGTTGGGCCCCGCCTTTTCTCGCGAAGAGGCGGGAGCCCTCTTGGCCGTCTCATGCATAAGTTTCAAAAAAAATAATACAGAGACAACTTGGAAACGACACATAAATAATCTCTCAAACCGCTGACACGGCCGTGGTGGCGTCGTTCCTTCGCTGCTCTAGCAGGGTGCACCACCTGTACTTCCCATGGTCCCCTATAGGTTCCCGCAGAGCACAACTTGCTTCCCTAAGGGGCTATCACTACCCTTAGGGGTGTATCCTTACCAAGCTACTGACCCACA